TAATTCAGAAATGACTTAAAGGCACACAACAACATTCTTCTGTATCCTAGTTTCCACAGTCTAGCAAATAGCCTACAAATATTCAAGTTCCAGTGACTTCAGTGGGATTAAAATGCACACAACTGCATTATACCATGGGAACAGAGGGCCTATGCTTATCTTTAAATTCACAGGCTGGACTAGAATCATTCATTTGGCAATGTCTACAATCCAATGCAAAATTAAGCAACTATTAGCCTACTAACTTCAACTGGCTCACATTCTTAACTTTGTGTTTGATTGTGGCTATAAAGTTTTTATGAAAATTGATTTGTAGCCAGTTTTACTGAAATTGTTTGAGGTTGCAATGCTATGTGCACTTATATGGGGATAAGCTTTAATTAACATAGTGAGACCTAGAGGTAAACCTGGTGTAACACTGTAAATATCTTTACCAGTTATATCAAGCTAATTTTAAACAGTTAATAGAACGTGTAGCACAAGGGTAGGCAACCTTTCCCCTTTAAGAGCCGAGGGACTTCAGCTCCCAGAAGCCTCAGCCATGTTGGCCAATAGTCCCATGTTGGCCAATAGCTCCTGGGATTCTGGGAGATGAAGTCCCTTGGCCCTTAAGGGGAAAGGTTGCCTACCCCTGGTGTAGCATGACTATCTAATTTTTCTGGAGTGGCTGGGAAAAATAATTTCACTTCATTTTAGTTCCCTGGTAAGCGAGGCAGCACTCCAAAGGAGGAGTGGACATATCTGGGGAAGGGGAAAACCATTTCAGCCTGGTACTATCCTACAAGTCAGAGATCCTATTTAAAAATCCACATTGATGGGTGCTTTTCCTCCCTGTCAGCTGTTAGCTCTGATGGTTGGCAGAACACCTTTCCAAGGCACTGCACCTGCTATGAGTCTATGGACCTTATCCCACGGGGCCAAAAGCAGCAAGAATCCACTAAGAATCAGGCGCTATAGCGCTATACATTCCCGGGTGATCACACGACAGTCGCTCAGAATCCGCTAAGAATCAGGCGCTATAACGCTATAGTTTTCCGGGTGATTACACGACGTCGCTCAGAATCCAACAAGAAACCGCTCGGAATGCAGCATCATTCGGGTTCTTTTGAATGTCGGTTTCAGCGGGCATTGCAATAGCGCTAGCTTATCCATAGCGCTATTATAGCGCTAGCACCATATTTATACTAGCGCTATAGTACTGCAATGATGCTCATATCGCTTTTTTGCCACTTTTGAGAGCAGCGTGGGATAAGGTCCTATGACTCAGCTTCCTTGTTCTTCCTTATTTCTGGTTTGGGGTTGCTTCTCATCTTCTCTGGAAAGTATTGGTTTTCTCTGATATGAGCAAAAGGTCTGAGAATGAACAGGCCTCTTATGGTAGTAAGAAGCACCAGGTTGTCAGCCCTTCCTGCTTATCAGGGGAAATACTTGGGTAACTAGAAAACACAGCACCAGCCCATATGTAGGTTTTGACGTTTGCTGCCCAAGAATTCAGTAGGGGATTTATTTCAAGATGCCCTGTGAAGATCCCTGAAGAGTGTCTTTTTGAATGCATTGTGGGAAGGTAGCCCCTTGAGTCACAATATTCTAATTCTTTCAGTTGACAGGCAAGGAACATATTGAAAAAATAGCCAGGCAGCTTTGTCTCAGCTGTCTTGTGTCAGGTATAGCTGCAGGCTCTATGAAGCAGTAGTAAAGCAGTAGTAAAGGGTGATGAATATAGCTGGAGTCTTTCCCCTCCTGCCTGGGTAGCAACCAGTATATGCTGTTAAAAGTTTTGTCCCTGTCAGGTTTCTGTTGCTCACTGGTATTTGAGTTTCTGTCATTCTCTGTGTTCTGTGCTCTGATGACACCCAGTTAGGTAGCTTGGATTTGATAAAATTATTGGCTATGTATCAAAGTTCCAACTGTCCAAACCCAAAAAACCTCTGGATTATATATATAAAATCTATGGCTCTAGTAAAGATCGGAAGGTTGCTAGAGCTAGTTAAATTGTGGGATAGATATACCAACAAGAATCCTTCCCTGAAAATTCCAACAACTGGAACTTTCAATCTCAAAAAGCCCCAAAATTTAACACATTATCCCAAGAGGAAAAGACCTTCTCAGATGCCATACTGGGAGATTTGGGAGGAATGTAGTAGATGCTGGAAGTCTCTAGTGCCTAGCCTTCAGGATTTTAATTTTTAAAAAATCCACTAAAGGCACAATGGACTCAGAGCAAAAATTCACCAGAATAACCTTGTATATCTTGGAGTGACTAGGAGATGCAATTCCACTTCAGAGCAGAAATGCCAAATAGCTCTACTCTACTTAGTATGGTCCCGTCCCCACTAATATATTAGTTGTTTAGAATTAAATGCTTAATGGTATGCTTAGATTCTGTTAATTTAAAGTAGGAACAAAACATTAATTTTATCAAATTTCTTCATCTTTCAATTTCTTGTATTTCCACTTAGGTAAATATATGTACAGAGTTATATTTATTAAATTAACCATTAGCAACAAGAATTGAACTTACAGAACCAGCTGCTGCTCCTGATGAGAAGGTGATAAGGACAGTTGGCTCATGTATTCCTGATTTCTTGCACAATGCCCTCTTGAAAGATTCATAGTTACACCAGTAGAGTGCTAGAGGTACAAATTGTATATCAATATATCAATAGTTAGATAAACTGTAAAGAACTAAGAGGTACTCCATGCTTCTACAGTGATACTTTGTCAAAGCAATATGTCATATTGAAGATACACTCATTATGGAATTATTATTTTTATGGTCAAATATTTAGAAATACCACCTGACCATGGTCAAATATTTCAGAAACTCCATGTATTTGCTAATTAGAGCATCAGTTGAAGAGGAAATCTAACAATAAAGCAAAGATTTTTCTATTTGCTGTAGCTGCAGGCATCACTGTGCAGGAAGAGGACATGATCCTCATAGGACTTGGGACGGCTCATGAATCCATTTTGCTTACTGTTTTAGTGCCATTGTAAAACACATTTAATGCTTCTGTTTTAGAACTAGCTGCACGACATAGGTTTTAGAAAATATAAAATAGACACTGGCTGAAATCCAATTGCTAATCCTAACTATGGCAGCCCTACTGAATTGGCAAATGGGAAGTCCTTCTATAAATCCAATTGATTCCACAGACCTACTATTAGGAATAACAAATGACTTGAGGTAATTGTATTTTAAAAGTTTTTTTTAAAGTTTCACTCAATGTTTCAATCATGGAAGAGAGGAAAGCACCACACCACCCACCATTAGTCCCTTAATGGTGATAGACATGACATATTCCACACATATAAAACTGTCATATGTTGCTTTTCTACATTTCATAGAATCATAGTTAGAAGAGACCACAAGTGCCATCCAGTCCAACCCCTGCCATGCAGGAATGCAAAATCAAAGCATCTCTGACAGATGGCCATCCAGCCTCTGTTTAAAGATCTCCAATGAAGGAGACTCCGCCACACTCCAAGGGAGTGTGTTCCACTGTCGAACAGCTCTCATTGTCAGGAAGTTCCTAATATTTTGAGGTGGAATCTGTTTTCCTGTAGCTTGCATTTGTTGTTCCAGGTCTTCTCTGGAGCAGCAGAAAACCAGCTAGCTCCCTCTCTTCTAAATCCTACTTGGTAAAATCTTCATCCGAAGAGAATCTGCAATAACCTATATATGTATAAATAACAAACAGGTTATTCTACTGGTTCAAAACATATCATACCTGAGAATGGCACGTCTCTAAGAACAGTGGGTCCCCATCCTTTCCAGAGTGAAAGCCAGCCATTTTGGGCCACACTGGTACTAATGCAAGCATATAGCTCTTTGTAACTCAACCGCCGAGACTGCATTGTGGTTCTAACCATTTCAACTGGACTTATTATAGTGGCTGAACACACTACAATTGACAGACAAAAAAAAAAAAAAACAAAAACAAAAAAACCAACATGCTCAAATAGATTTCTTAAGAGAACATTTTCCCAAAGCAGGATTTTTATGAATTGAGACATGATTTGCATTTTGTATTTTTTTCACACTTGTTTTTCCAGTAGAGCAAATTACTATAAAACAGAAGAATTAACCTTATTACACAGACAGCTATTTAACCAAGGGCAACAGAGTTCTAATTCATCTTTCAGGTAATAAGTCAGGATATCAGAAGGTATCACTTGTAATACACATTTTAAACATCTATACCAATACTTTTTAAAAGGAAGAAAATACCTTTATTCTTTTTTGTATTCCTGATGTATATTAGGTTTGTAAAAAGGGAATCTTTCATCTTCACACATTTTCTTCCCACTGACAGTGACATAATGGTTTCTGTAGTGGCAGGGCATCATGTGGATTGGTTGCTCTTCCCCACCCCAAGGAAGATTTTTTTTTTAATCATTAAGATTTGCCTGGAGCTCCCCTTAGTGTGTGAGAGCAACTTCCGCAAACAAGTCTCATGAAGCAACCAAAAGAGACGTCATGGGGAAAATACACAATAATCTGGAATTTAACAATCCAATAGGGATCAACCAGAATGCTAAGAGACAAGTAGGTAGGGAAAAAGCAAGTTAGCCAAACCACAGAAGCACACAAAGAGGGATAGGACTTCACAACTGTATCATTGTTAAATTCCAATTAACCAATTAGGAAAACTGGTTTCACCAGTCACCTCTGTAGGAAAAAAAAATTCTTTCCCCTATAGTGGAACGATATGAAAGACAAAAAGAACTGTAACATAATGACCTTGCTTGAAACAACTTATCTTCCTATGATGAAATTCCCCCTCTTATTCATGGTTTATCCCAGGACTAGATCCAATCAGTTTCAAAATAATTTGGAGCCACCAAAGAGGATGTAAAGTTGTACTTTTGCCCTAGAATCTTCTTGCCATGTTCTGAGCCAAATCAGACTATGTACTAATATGGAATAGGTTCAGGACTCTGGGAATAAGCGCAAGGACTGGTCCAGTGTTTCTTGATTTGGATAAGGCAATAGAGAAAGCCAGCCTGGTATAGTGGTTTGAGCACTGGACTAGGAATCTGGAGACCAGGGTTCAAATCCCTGCTTGGCTGTGGAAACCCATTGGGCAAGTCACACTCTCTCAGCCTTAGGGGAAGGCAATGGTATACCTCATCTGAACAAATCTTTTGAAGAAAACCCTGTAATAGATCCACCATAGGGTTGCCATAAGTTGGAAATGACTTGAAGATTCACAACTGCAACAAGACAACAGACATTACCACAGCATTACCCTGGAACAAATGCCATGGTAAGAGAACTTCTGGGAATTCTGTCCCCTCAAACAGGAGTTGCTTCCATTTTTGTTGGTGGTGTATAAGTGAGAGAGAGCATGTTAGTTTGAGGAATAACCATCTGGCTAAGAAATGCTTCAGAGGGCCATCTTATTCACCAGATGATTGCCCCTTCTGCCCATCTGTTTCACGCCTAAGACATCTACCTCTCATAGTCAGAGGACCATGGCACCTCCCTTTATTCAGTGGTCAGGGTGCAGACTATAAGGTGGATGGCTCTACTTGAGGAGCTGCTGCTGGAGGAACTTAGGGCCTTTGCAGACTGCCAGAAATAGTGCAAATTGAGTTCACTTTAAATTGAGGCACTGCCCTGGCTCAGTGCTAGGGAATCATGGGAATTGTATTTTTTTCTAAGACATTGAGCCTTCTCTGTCAGAGAGCTCTGGTGCCACAATAAATTACAGTTCCCATAATTCCCTAGCACTGAGCCAGGGCAGTTAAAGTGGACTCATTTGCACTATTTCTGGCAGTCTGCAAAGGCCCTCAGTTTCTGAAGGTTTTTTATCGTGACCCATGGCAGGGAGACAGACACTTGCACAAGAAGCTCTGTTGACTTCTGAACCATTGTTAAAATACCAAAAAGGGTCACATCTTCACCAGATCAAAATCTTATGTTTAGATATAAAGAGCAGGAATTTTTTTTTACAGTTTTTACATCTGTGGCCCTAAGCAGGATACAAATTAAATATTTTTTTAAAATCTTTTATAATTCTTGTTGCAATTAAGGTGAATTTCTCTAAACATTCTCTTAAACCACATGAAAATGAAGCTTAACAGACAACATGATGTTAGAGACTATTTGACTCACATCTGGCTATGCCACCTGCAGCCAGTGAAATATAGCCATTATCTTCTCCAAATTTAGAAATGATAGCATCGCGTAGTTGATCATAACAGGTAAAATAAATTACTGTTGTTGGAACTGAAACTGCTCTAAAATAAAAAATAGAATAGTGTTGTCAATCAATCAATTAATTGCTACAATTTGCCATACCCAGTGACATCAGGAATATACTTTTTGTATGTAGAATGCCCCAGGTTCAATCCCCAGCACATCCAGTTAAAAAGATCATGTAGCCTAGGTTGAAAATCATGTAGCCCTTCAGGTGTTGTTCAATTGCAACTCCCAGAATTCCTCACCACTAGCTATGCTGGTTGGGGCTGATGGGAACAGCAGTCCAACAACATCTGGAGGATGGCATGATTTCCATTCTTGAGACAGGGGTGATGGAAAAGATTATGAGGGGATATAAATCCACACCCATATATGTTTTTTAAAGGCAGCAATACTCCATTTTGCCAGCACTCAAAAAAATGCAGTTTCCCCCCACATAACTTAATGATTGTGAAGCTGAATACTGGATGATATACTGGGACAATACATGTAATAACAAGCACAACCAAACTCCACCTTGTTCCATTTTCTACTAATAATTTTTAAAAGGTGACTATGTCCGTAGCAAACTTGAGCATGAGTATTTCTGAATACCAACAGCTTTATTCACTTTCTGTAGTTCAATGTTCCAGAGGTCAGTATAGGATAGCCAGAGGGGAAGACTATAGCCAGCTCGGGAATGAATGAAGACATGACTCTCAGAAGCAAGTCACTGGCAGGCCTCTGTGTGAAGATTAAGGATTCTGCTGCTATGTAACAGTCATTTTCTCCAATCCAGGTCTGGCATAGCTTCCAATCCTGGGGCTGCATCCAGGAAACAAGGATTCCTCATCTAACAAATATTAATTCACGTACCCACTACTATCAAGAGCCCAGATAGCAGCGGAGCTTCCTGTGACAATGAGGAGGCTTGCAGACAGAGGTCTGTGCAACATTCAACAGGCCCTTAGCCATCCTCCAAAACAGCTGTGAATTAGTCACTTAATACATTTTCTAAAAAAATTCTCCCAAGTTTCATGAGTTTTAAAGGTCTCCCCTCAATAAAACAACTTACAAAAGCTGAGAATCTAGCTCCATTAGCCTTCTTGAGAACGAGAGGTTGATACTTGCCATGAGTGATCATTCTAGGAAGGCTAAAGGAGGAGTCCATCCCCACTTGTGGTTGTAAAATAAATAAATAAAAGTAAGGGAAGAGAATATCTGTTAGTTTCTAACTTTTAAACTTACAGTAATTATGAATGGGTTTAACATGTGCAGCTTGCAAGGCTATGTAACAAAACAGAAGAATGGGGAGAAGGGACCAACAGACAAAAGTTTAGAATTTAGTTCTCTTGCTTGAACAGCTGGCATGAGAGATTAATCCTGTTTTTGTTTGTTTGTTGGGGGGGTTGCACTGTATATAGTTAGAATCATACAAGCCATCATATTCCCTATTACCATGTATGGATGTGAGAGCTGGACAGTTAAGAAAGATGATAGGAAGAAATTAAATTCATCTGAGATGTGGTGCTGGAGAAGAATCCCATGGACAGTCAAAAGGACAAACAAATGAGTCCCAGAGCAGATCAAACTGGAAATCTCCCTAGAAGCTAAGAAGACCAAACTGAGGCTGTCATACTTCAGACACATCGTTAGAAGGGAGGACTCATTGGAATAGACAATAATGCTGGGAGAAGTGGAGGGAAGTAGGAAGAGAGGAAGGCCATATGCCAGATGGATG